TCTATGCACAACCTTTTTGCTGTTCACCAATTGCGGGGATCTTGGTGTATTCCACTTTTGATGAGAACACAACAGCACTGTGGCATTGATTCTTCATGGCCTTTGTAGCCTTTGGCAATCCTTTCCCCTTTGCAATACAGGCATACCTTTGAGTGATGCATGGCGCAGCTTTTGCGCTGGACTTCTTCTTTGGTGCAGGGCTGTTTGTTCGTTTTTGGATCCTTTGTAGGAGCAGCTGCATTTTCATGTTTGTAAAAACACTTGTCACCACGGCGACACTTGCCCTGTTGGAAGTACGTGCATGGGGTTCTTGCCATCTCTGCCCTTGACAACTTTATTGATGAAGGGGACTTGCTCTTACCACCGCCCTTGCCCTTCCCCGTCTTTTTGCGCGTACCAGATCTTGGCTTGGTGTCTTTGTTATGCGTTTAAGGACAGTCTTCTTTTCCACATTTCCCGTCCCTGAATTTGTAGCAGACTTTATCACCTTTACTACTCTGGCTGCAACCACGTGAACGTCCTCGATCACCTTTGCCGCGATCCTTGCCCCCCTGAGCGGGAGCAGCGGGCTGGGGCTTTTCGGTCTGTTTGCTCTTTTCCACGATTCGATTCCTGTTTGATCGGAGCCTTTCCCTATCCAATAGGTCACGAATGTTTCGAAGCAAATAGGCATAGGACTTTTGCTCTGATTTTTCAGCACCTCTGTCAAATGCTTCAATGTCGTATTTCATGAGTTGACATTTCCTGATTTGTCTGAGTAGGATATCTCTGAGAACCAAATCATCTGGTAGAGTTTCCATACCAGCAATGGTGGCATCCCAACGGTTAAGATTCCTTCTAAGATCTTCCACCGACTCTCCCGTCCTGACAACTCCCAACAAGTCCTTAACATGGTAGAGGCTGCCAGCTTCCTCAGACGTCCTGAAATAATCTTCAAGCATCAAAAAGACTTTCCTACCCCTGACTTGGATTCCGTTCTTTGACGTTTCATGATTTGAAATTGTGGATTTTGTTTGCTAGATCACCTTTGGCTGAGAGGGTTAACGCTGCCGACAACTTCGTGTCAAGTGTGATGAATTTACCCGGATCTTGCAGCTTCTCCTCCAACTTCTCCCGGGCCAAATCCAAGCCTCATCGGGTTTGTCCGAACACGACTTCACCTCATCCCTGACGTGATTGCGCCAATGGCGATAGGCCTCAGGGCCGGCATGTCATTCAGCTTGATGGTCTCTGCCTCTTTTGTGCGGGGCTTTTCACCATCTGCATCTTTTGATGTCAGCCTAGTGATGAGATCCAAGAGCTGTTGTCCAGAAAGACCAGCACCTATGTCTGCGGTCTTGAGTTTGTCGGGTTCACTAGCTGCAACAGTCGGGCTTCGCACACTAGGTTCTTGATTCACATTTTCATGGCTGTCTCTGCACTGGCAATGGTGGAAGTAGTGGGGGGGGTAGTAGTGAACAAACTGTGCAACTTCTCCCTTGCATCCGCAGCTAGATTATTCATTGCTGTGTTTGGCATGGGCGTTGCCCCAGCCTCCGCGCTTGCAGAACCTTTCGGCGTTGCAAACACTTCAAGTGGGATGTCACCTGTACCTTGATCAAGTTCCCCGATTCTAAGCGTAGGGGCGTTCTGCTTGTTCAACTTTTCCACAAGTTCATCTACCCGTTCCTGGAGTTGAAAGTTGAGTTCTGCAGCTTGCTCTTCTCGCTTGTTGCATTCCTCTCTCATTTCATTGATCACTGCTTGTTCCTCCTTCTTGAATTCTGCCATTCCTTGCCTTGCACAGTCGACTGTTTCATCTACGATTTTCTTGCAGTCAGCTTCCAGGTTTGCCTTGAGTTCAGAGTATCTGCTTTCGTATTGACTGGTCACATGAGAAACCTTTTGGTTTGCCCTTTGCTCTGCTTCCAGCGCTACGGAATTTGCAGCGTTCTTCAGTGGCGTTTGCTTCACTGAGCTCTTTCCTCAAGTTCAAAATTTCCTGTTCAGCTACTGTGCGAGACATCATGAATCCGGTTAGTTCCGATACCATCTGTTCATGTCGGTTGTCAGCTTCTGCGGGTTGTCGGGCGAGCTCATTGAAACACATCTGCTCAACAGCCATACTACGATTTTCATAATCCTGATGCAGTTGCTGTACCATTTGCTCCATGATCTGGGTGTGCCTTTCCTCACCTTCATGCCTGAATAAGTCAATGTTTCCCACATTGATATAAGTGAGATTGTTCTGCACAAACTGGAAATACGTCTGAACCGGTTGGTAGAAGATTCCGTCATCTACAGTCATAGGCGTGGGGCTTGTCCCAGCCGGATATTCCGCTGGGGTACCAGTTGTGGGAACCATTGAACTTGTTGCAGGAACGATTGCACCACCCGTACCAGAAACATCACCAGTTGGTCTCTCCATGGCTTTAGAGACTACGGCTGATAACCTGTATTTTCAGGCTTCAGCGGGGTTATGCCTATAAACCCACATGGACTGATAAGCCTAAAACTAAAACCGTTAAGCTAGCGGCACACACTCTTTTCTCTGAGCCGCAATGCTACCGAGTGCATACTATATTACATGGTGTTTTATGGTGGTGTGCATTTACAAGGAATGCTCTATATTTTGCAGGGGTACTGTTTCTTGGACGAAGTCCTGCTTTGCCTGGAAGGAAAATTGCAGTTTATGAATCAAGGTGCCTTTTTTCAAGCATGGAAAGGAACGCTGCAATTTAAAACAAATTGCTTCCTTCAAGAAATGTTGTGCTTTCTGACCTGAGTATGTGCTAATCTTTTTTGAAAGTAATACTACCTCTTTGACATCAACAAAAAGCTTAAAATTGTAGATCTTTGGGGGTAGCATTTGTATACATATATATATATATATGCATAAATACTTTGATATACATATGTGTACATATAAACAAATATATACATACATATACACACCTATAACATATATATATATACATATATATATATAAATACATTACTATACACTATACATATACATAAACATATATATATCTATACATATACATATATTGCACGGATACATATGTATGTATATATATATAAAGCATACGTTTATATATATATATAGTATATATATATACCATGTGCATATAAAATAATTTACAGTTTGCAATATAATTGTATGATCCCAGGGCGATCTGGCCACTGCCCACTTGCGAAGTCCTCCCAATTCACATTGGCATTCCATAAGTCGGGGGCAAAACGAAACAGCAAGGCATCCATATCCGACATATCCATTGGCCCGAGGAGCCGAGAGGAGAATGATGTTCCTTGGCGCGCTGCTCATCAAAATTTGCATGTTCGATGTCCAGGGTAGACTTGGACTGCCCTCAAAAGTATTGCTATGAATGTACTCCCAAACTTCACTGTTTTCATCTTCAAAGTGACCACAAATGCTGCCATACGCAACTCCGAGCGACTCACATGTCAGGGTCCATCAAAGATACTTCACACCCTTCATTAACCAAGCGTCTCTGTCCAAGGGATGCACGCCATCGCATGTAACACAGCCTCAAGCTGGGCTTGGTCACTTTCGTGGATGGGAAAATCCCGCATATGGCCCCTGGATGTTTGGCAGTGGGAATTGGTGAGCAATCCCTGTAAAGTGTAAAGATGTGGAAAGCAAGCTGTCGACGGGCAGATTTCTGGTGAAGGTGTACAACGGAGAACTCAAATCCTTCTCACAATGCCTTGAAACCAAGGATACAAAGCTGATACAAAGATCCAGAAATTGACTCACGCAGAAGATGCCGTTGCCATTGCCTTCAAATTTCGAAATGCATTGGTCTCTGCCCATTTTTCTCCAAGGGACTGTCCCAAGGATGATGCCAATGCAAAAGCTGGAAACCAAAGCTGCGAATGTCAGAATCCAGTCACTCACATATCTCAGTGTGAAATCAGTGGAACTCACGCTGCTGTCATGCAAGTTGGTTGCAAATAAAATACAAGCAAAACATGCTGTTGGCCCTGCAAAATGAGCCAATGCATGGTTGTTTCGCTGGAACCTGTATATAACTATAACCCGTTTAAGTAGCCCACCAGAGCTTGCAGTTTGCCACGCAGTTTTTTCATTGCAAATCAAGTCAGCTACGCGCTATGGAAGTCGGGACAGACGCTGCAGGGATCAATTGAGTCTGGGGACAAGCTATACGTGCTTTGCTGTGCGAGTTGACTGGCCATTTGAAATCAGTCAAAGAATGGTATGAACAGAGCCAGCGTGCGATGTTGCATCTGTACTTCACAGATTGCCCTCCCTGAGTGACCACTTGTCTTGCGAGGTTGGGCGCAAGGTGAGAAGACATCCGAAAAGTATCACCCAGCAGGAGATGAGATCGAATGGATTGACGCTGGCAGACAGTTGGCAGACTGTTTGGTCAAGAGTATGAAACCCGACTTTTTGGTCAGAGTGCTTGCTGAGGGATACATCAACGTGAAGAAGCGGAACTGAGAGACTTGGAAGTGTACAGACATTGGAATAGTACAGTAGTACCAGAATGAGATAGTCTGGTGAGCCATTTTGGCCATTCCAATAGGAATAGAGTTGCATGCCTTATTTTGTATATAGTACTACCGCATTCACGCCAGTAGATAAAACGGGTGTGATTCCACGCTGTCATACGCATGGTCTTAGAGAACCCTGGTTCTGAATGACTGTTGTGTCACGCACCTTTTGGCCTAAACCTTTAGGGCCCTTGAGCTTTTCGTGGCGACGAACAAAAGGATCCAGCCGAGATTCAAACTACATCATGTAATAAATTTGTGTATTACATAATAGACTAAATTACTATATTGCGATAGTTCCTATATTCCCCTTTTACTTTACTATTTCTACAGATTTTGCGTAGAAGAACCCGCAAGCCTTGTACTGAGCAGAAACTTTTCAAATGACCCATTCATGTTCAAAACATCCATCCATGTTGTTGTGGCTCAGAACTCAACTTCCTAAAGTTGGACAGGTGAACGTCGAACATGACCTGGCAAGAGTGTTTGGCATGTTCACCATGCTACCAGCCGTAGTCGACCACGCTACATTTTTCCAACAGTTCTCGCTGTCGGCGCCTCCGCTGTTGTTGCTCCCCTGCGACGCAGCCTGCGCTACACATCGATGGTTCCAGCGACCCTTCCTCCGCAGCTTGCACCTCGATGATCCAATGGATGTTGAAAGTGGAAAGTGAAATTTCTGAAACCAGCTCAGTGAGCTCACCAACAAAAATAGAGGAGCACATCAACAGCACGAGGGTTGACTTCTTTTAACCATGATGAGATAAATAGGGATGCGGAAAACAATCAGCAATCGGAGCATGGGCCCAAATGGTCCAAATTGAAGAACACTATGACAAGTAGTGTAAGGAGTGTAGGGAGGTTTAATCCAGATCTGTGAAGATCTATGAAGAAATCTTATCGATGATGAATTTTGGCAAGACCTGACCACCTGGCCTTAATCTCGACGGCACAAGATCGACTATAAGTACAAAACCAAATGGATCTTCCTTGGCGAACGCATGAACAACATGGACAAATGGGATTGCCTACAAACCCCGTCTAAGTTGAAAAAGATCTAAATCACTTCGTTTGTCTTTTCGGTTTTGGGCTAGCATAATCATCCGTGTGTTCATACGGGTTCATGTAATCGCATGATCATTTGGGCGGTGGAGTAATTACCTGGAATACCTGGGAAATTCTCCGGAACCATCCAGGACCATCCAGAACCAATATTGCTAAGGTTGAAACCCGGAATCACTTCATCAAAGTCAAAGGACGTAAGAGTGGCATTGTCGTTTTGTTTGCTTTAACGTTTTCTGTGTTCGTAGTGACGTGGTAGTGCGAAGGGCCCTACTCCTCCTTGAAGTAGACAAATGACGGTGCAAAGGCAAGTTTTTGTCGAAAAGTAGCCTGCAAATTGGACCACCCAGCAGCTTCCCCAGCTCTCCCCTGGAGTTAGGATACCACAGCTGCAGCTCTCTTCTCCGAAATTTCTATGTTGGCTGCCTGGCGACTCGTACAACTCAAATGCACAAGGTTCATTGCAAACAGGCTGAGCTCCCATTTTTCCGATCTGTCTGGCCGGCACATGCACACTAGGATGCGAGTGCAGGCCCAGGGACAAGGGAGCTAGCTGTCTGTGTCTTTATGGATATCTTGCATCCTTTTCCGAGATCTGACATTGAATGCTGGCCCAGGATGCAGGAAAAGTAGGACCGTGGAGCTGAATGTTGTAACCACTTGACATGTCATTCAAGTGGATTCACAGGCGTCCGAAACAACACAATGGGCCATGTTTTTGAATTTGTACCAATAGTACCGCACAATGAAATAGGAAACCAATAGGAGAGATTGGTTTGTTGAGAATCACGGAGGGCAGAGCGAATCCACTGATGGACCGAAAAGTGGTTGGAGTTGTGCTTCTTAGAGTGGTTGCAATGGTTGCAGCGGTCACCTCACCACAACTCCTGGATGTAGTGTGGTGTAGTGCAGTTGTAGTTGTAGTGTAGTGTAGCGGAGTCCTAGTTGTAATGTAATGTAATGTAATTAGTGTAATGTCGTTGCAGTTGCAGTTGTAGTTGTAGTTGTGGTGTGGTGCAATTAGTGTAGTGTAGCGTGCTGTGCTGTAGTGGTGTGTACTGTAGCGTGGTATAGTGCAGTGTAGTCCCGTGTAGTGTGTCTGTGTGTAAAGTAGTGGCCTTTTGAGTGGCGGCGCGCCTCGAGGGGCGGGACTGCTGTCATTTTTGCAAATGGTGTGTTTTGCGGGTGTTTCGCGGGCGATTGGGTTTTGGGTGGGGGAATGTAATAACGTTCTTTCGCCTGTGCTTCCAAACGTTGCAACATTGCTACGTTGCACCATCCTTTCAAATATTTCCAAGACGCTCTTGATACATTGTAACATCTTCTTCAAGTAACAGTGGTACCGGTACAGTTCTTCAAGATTCGGTCAGGTTGCCCCTTTGTCAAGTGGCATCAAGGGCAAATGAGTTCTATGGCGTGGGGAGGGATGCCTTCAAAGCCAAGTGGACGACAGATGGCAATCGGGAGGAAGCTTTGAAGGCTCCCAAGGAATGCCCGGCTGTCTTGGCCAAAATGAGCCATGCTGAACGAGTGAAGCGTCGTTTGGATAATTTGTACGAAAGCAACTGAAGCTAGACATAGCCGCAAGTGTGCTCAGTCATCATTGGAGCTCTGACGAAAGCACGAGGGCAGATTTTGAGGAGTTGCTTTTCAAAGTATGACGCCAATGAAAAGTTAACAGTCACCATGAACTAACATCCAAGTATGGGATCAGTTGAGCAAGCTTTGTAAAAAAAAAAACGCACAAAGTTGGACTGCGGCGTCTCGCATGATGATGAAAAATGACTGTCGAATCATCACTTTGAAAAGAGCTGAAAGCGCCGCACCTCCACTGGCGCCGTAACCTAGTTTTAGTTGTAGCGTGGTGAAGTGTAATCAGTGTAGTGTACTGTAGTGCTGTGTACTGCAGTGTGGTAT